ATATTTTTCTCAATGGCCATATTTAATATGACAGTTGTATAGAAAAAAAAAAGTGGCTTTTTTTTGGTGTTCTTAAAGCTTGCTCATATTTTAGATTGTTTGTTATAGGAGGAAAGTTGACATTGGAGTTACTAGAAGGAGAAGAGAGTCTTAAAGGTCTACCAAGGGCAGAAATCCATCTTTCCCTGACAGTAATGCTGCCTTGTTCTGTTCGTCTGGTTTGCATCTAATTCCTGGCTGACAAGTGTCCGTTTTTCATGCTCATTCATTAGTCACCCTTGCATTAGCGCCACATCGAAGTGCCTGGTCTGCCTCTTATCACATTTCTCAGAAATGATAAAAGATATCCTTATAGTTTTCCCACCCACACATCACATTAAAAACCCAGAATAACAAAGAGGTAAAATATATTTGATTAAAAAAAAAATAATAGGGTCATTCTTCGCTCTTTCTTAGAAGCTGAGAGGTAGAAAAGGAAGTGGGGAAATGACATGACTTCCTGTATAATCTATTACCTTTGGCAGGCAAAAATGCAATTTCTGAGTGTTTTGTAAGATAAAAATGTGTTAAACATATAATGAAGTAATTTAGCAGTCCATCAGAAATTAGATCTAATGCCCCGTTGTCCCAAAGGCATAGCAATTCAGAAGTAAAGTTAACAACATGGTGTACACTGAGAATCTGATTTCCCTTTATTTCAGTTTCATGCTTATGAAAATTCCGTCATTACAATGCAGCTCTTATGCAGCCATATGCCCTTACCAGAGAGGCTTGTGCAGGAGTATTTCTGGAGTCTTGGAGGGAAGTCTCACCATAAGCATGCTGTAAATGTGCTGCGATATATGCCACAAGAGACCCCTCTGAATTTACTAGGACTATGCTTTAGTACGGGAAATAGTCTCACTCAAGGTGGCAGACCAGAATTTTAATTGATGCCTTTGGTTTCTTTCTTGAAGACAGCCTTGAAGGGAAGGGAGAGGTGGGGTAAAGCACCTGGTGGTGGTGCAGGATGTTACCTGAGCCTGGCAGTGACATCCCTACCAGTCAGAGAGCTGGGGAAAGACAGGATGGGCTCTTTAGCACCACTGTCCACCCCAGCTCACTCCACTATGGAGAATATTACCTGCATAAGAGGAGGAAGAGCATTGCTAGCACCAGCAATAATAATAATAGGATTATTCTATATTACCAAACTAATAATGGGAAAGAAAGTACAGCTGCCTTTCTCTCTTGTCCCTCCTTTGGAAGGTAAGGGTAGGGAAGGTGTTCTCTCAGTGTCTCAGTAACAAGGCTGCTGCCAACCCGAGGCTTTAATAATGCACACTGCCTCTTCACAGACAGAGAGGTCCTGATCCGGAATGGATCAAATGTTTTATTGATTTGCTTTTCCAGGCATATTTTTTGAAGATTGTTAAAGCTTCTTTGGGATGTATTTTATTAGTCTCTTACCATTCTCTGGGAAAATGAATCCCTTCTGTCCTCGCTCACAAGCAATTGTAACTTATATGACACTTTGAGAAATTGAAGAGTGTTATTGAAAATACTCTGCTTGAGAAAGATACAAAGACCCTCAGTACATTAGCAAGCTCACCCACTCCCAGCTGACAGTGTGAGGTTTCTGTGATGACTGTAATTGTTAAATGTCAAAGGAAGCTGAAGATTGAAGAATTAGAAAGATGTCATTGCTATCTACAGAAATCATAGCAAGGGCCATAGAGAAAAAGCAGTCATTTCAAAACCCAGTGCTGTCCAAGGAGGTTGTTTCATGATAGTTACAGCAGGTGATGAAGATGTTTGTCCAGTCCCTTTGCTTCTTCATCAGTTAAAAACCTATCTTGTGTGTGTCACAACCAGCCAACCTGATGCTTGGTTAGGTGCACTGTTGCCATCTGGAGCAATTTGTAGGTGACATGGCTGCTGTGGGAGGTGGTGGGATAAAGCTGTGAACATGTGGGAAGGAGCCAACAGGATATAAGAGCTCCCAGTCTTGTAAATACACAATTATGCACCTTCACCCCTGCCAAATTAGTATAATTTACTCAATAGTATCTAATGGCTCCTTTGAGAACATTACTGCCTGTTATGTCAAAGGCCCTACTTAGTGTATTTTTAGTTTGTGGATCATTGAAATGCTTGAACCCAACGATGCCATTAGAGCATCCTCCCACAGCAAGGCCCCATGGGTGGGAGCAGCCTGGAGAGCAGGGGTCCCACAGAGTTCATCACACCCGTGGCAGCACCACTGCAACTGTTTGCAGGGAAGAGGGGCTCTTCATACCCAGCAATTCCAGCTGTTGGTGACAAAGAGATTAGAGGGGGACTTTTTTACTCTTACATTTCTAGATTAATGCTATTTACTTTTGTATGCACTAAAACTTGCGGATTTTTCTAAAGGCAAGTGCTTTATGGGAGAGGTGATTATTGTGCATGTGAGGCAATGCAGAACCAGAGCTTTGTTAAATATTTCAGGAAGGTCGACAGGACAGTAAATCAACATGTCAAGAAAAATATTCAAATTATAATCTAATCTCCCTCTACTATCTCCAGTCTGAACACCTGAAAGCTAATATTAATGTGCTATTTAATACTGTGCTTATATGCTTCTATTACTATTACAGTAACTTTCTCATTTTTCCTCAACCATGATATTAGAGCACAATAATTATCTGCATTGTGCACTCATGTGTACCTGCTAAATGCTCTAAGGTGTACCTGATGTAGAAGTAATCCTTTTCTTCTGAAGATACCTGTGGAACTAGCAATAATATGATCTTATGGGTACTGCTAGCAATATAACCCCAGCTGTTTGCTAATTTAAAGCAAACTGCATTATCCTGACATTATGTGTGCCCAGGATGCCTATCAAGCCCTCAGGATGGGTGAGCCTGGGCCCAGAGAAGGATGTCCACTGGGTGGCCTGTCAGAGAGGGTGGGATGAAGCTGCTGCTGCTGCCAATGCATTGGGAGCTCTGTACAGACATCAGAGACTTGCTGTGGTTGCTATCACATGAGTGAGCCTCACTGGCTTGGAATAACTCCAGTGTGACAGCGATGCTGACAGGCACAGCTTGGCAAAACTTGGCATGTCATCCTAAGGAATGTTCATGTCCAGATATTTGCTCCTTCTCTTTGCCCAGAGTTACCCAGTGTTGTAGGGTAAAGCCTCCTTCAGCAATAGCTGAGGTTGGAATAGTGGTGAGGTAGCTGTGACATTGGCATCTGCTCCCTTTTGACAGAAGGTAATCCAAACCAAGCAGAGAGCTGGAGACAGCAATTTCTTACATTGCTGCAGTAGGATGTACCAAAGCTTATCTTTTGGTGCCTTAAACTGTGGCCAAAAATCTTGTCCCATCAGAAGGGTTCTCAGTATCCCTGCCCTGTGTGCCAGAGGGAGCAAGAACGCTGTTAGTGGGAAAGCAGTGAAGTGTGGGGCTGCTTCTCTCATGCCTGTGGTGCAGAGGAAGGACTGAGATGCCTTCATTTCACTGGGGAAATGCTTGGGTGTCAGAAGTTTGCCATTATATCAAGTTAAAATTAGCATCTCCAGCTATGTAAGAGATTTTGCATGGTACCAATGAACTGATACTTAATTCCAGATAGTTGAACAGTCATATTTTCCCAATATAGGGTAAGAAATAGGGGTCTCATGCTATTCAAATTTCCAGGGTATCAGAGGAGCTGAATTTGGTGGCAGCCACCCCATCTCCTTTTCCATCTCTTCATTTGCCAGCCCCAGGTTTTGCCTCTTGGTAGCACTGATGCAGTTCCTTGTAGGACTTAATCAGGTCTTGGAGGTAATCTAGAAGAAAAATAGCTCTTTGCATGGTTTATTTGTAAACCAGTTCAATTCAGTGTTCTGTTTTCCAGCCATAGGTTGTGGTTTCAAAATATGAAGTATCTCGCTTTTAAATTGTTCCCATATGACTGTGTCTTGTTGCCAATATGACACAAGTATTTGTGCAACCTCACCATGAGCTGATGTACGGAAATGGTTTGACTTCAGAACAAGAAGTAAAACAAAAATAACTGAGTTGTAAAGTTTTTGAAGTCAGGCCAGCTCTTTGATGAGACTTTGAGCATGGTTTCAAATCCATTTCCAGAAGGAATTGGCAGCAGGGGAAAAATATCCCCAGTAGCTACTGGGGCTGAATGCTTAATTCTCCAGAGCCACGTCCTCCCTGACACATTGGAGAGGGTGCCAGTCCATGGCAGAAACATGGAGACAGTGATAAGGAGGGAACTTCTCAGGTCCATTTTACCATCCATTTTACCAAAGACATTACAGAAGAGTACAAAAAAGCCAGACTTTGCAGCTGTCCAGTACAATAAACTGGTCTGATCTTTGGAGGTGCATTCAACGCCCTGTCAGTCTGCTACATTTCTGTGGTGCTGTGGAGGGATCCAAACATGGTTCAACTCCTTAAAGATACTTTTTATTATTATAATTATTATTACTACATTTTTAATAACAATAATAATAATAACTTAGTGCTACAGGGATAATGATAAGGTGTAGACACATTAACTAAAGCTATAAAGTTAATGCTCATGAGCTAAAAGTACATTAAATCACAGCATGAATACTTTCATCTATGAGTTTAGGCAACTCAGTTTATATGCTGTAGTTTTACTGTTTTATTTAATTTCCCATAACTTTCTTTAGTACTTCACTGGTATAGTTTACCGAACATAAATTATCTGAAGAAGGGACTTGTTTCACTTGTTCTGTGTCTGGACATGACCTTCCACAGGAAGCCTTGGTTGTTCACGTGCTGTACCACAATATAAGTAATAAATCCACTATGAAATCTTTGCTTAATGTTGGAATGAAGTGAAAACATGACCCAGACTTTTTTTAATGCTTTATTTTACAGGGAGCAGAACTGCTGTTTTCTTTGTCTCTTGTATGTCATACTATTTATCCAGTATGGCAATCAATTGTAATTTAAATGACCAGCTGATAATAATGTTAATGATTTTATTTTCTTCTCCTTCCTCAGATCTCCGGAAAACTTTTGAGCAGGAGCCCTTAGGGAAAGAAGTGTCCCTGGAGCAAGAGGTCCTGCTCCAGTGCCGTCCCCCTGAAGGCATCCCAGTAGCTGAGGTGAGCAACAGCAGCAATGTCTGGCACTGGGACATCCTAAGTAAGGCCTGATGGGTGGCTAATGGTGCAGTGACTTACAGCAAGGCATGATGAATGGGTGCTAATGGAGAGCTGACTGACTACTGCTCATGGACAAGATTGATTGGGACCTGATTAATGGCTTTTGGGTTGTGGTGCCTTGCTGGGAAGACCTGCAGGTGGTTTGGTTTCTGTTTTTTCTTCTCTTTGAAAAATCACAGCTATATCTGGCAACCAGAGGACACATAGCTGGGGGAACATATTAATACCAGCCTGCTATCTTTTCTTTTGCTTTTAAAGAAGAAAAAAATCACTTATTCTGAGGAGCACCTCTCAAACATATTTTAATTTTTAGTTTGCCGGACTATATATCATTCACATGCGTCTGCATCACCCTGCCAACTTGGCATGAGAGGATGTACCGTGGTACACTACAGGCTCCCAGGTAAAGCAGCATGTGGTTTGAGAAAGTAGAGGATGTCTCTGCAATCTTCAGGGCCTTAGCTGTTTTTCCTGCCAGCTTTTAAAGAAACCCAGAGTGGGTAGGTTGTCCTCCCCCTGCAGGAGCCAGCCTGCCCTTCAGCAGAATCTGTGCCTGACAACAGCAGCGAGCAGCAGTTTCCCTAAGCGCAGTGGTGCCTCCAGCTTCAGACTCAATGCTCACGGAAGGGGGGTCCCTGAGTCGCAGGGGGGCCTCTGAAATCCTGAACCCACTGTGGTTGTTAAGAGAAAAATTGATTGCTAATGACGGTAATTCCCCTATCTGAATTCTCTTCGGTTTTCCTCTATCACGCACAGAAGAAACTGTTGCCAATTTGCATTAGGATAAGTCAGACTGTCATGGCTAAGTAGTAAAGTGGTTGTCACTCAGCGCTGATGGTTGATTTCTCAGGAGATGAAGCTTAAAGTGTTACCTCCTCATCTAACCCAAGTTTAGATTTAATCAGAATTGCAGAAACGTGTCCACAAACATCAGAAAGAATAATTAGCGCAGAGATTTTTCCCATTTTCTTGTTCTGTAGGCTGTTTTCCTTCCCCATTAAAATCTCCAAAACTGTAAAGAGTGTTTAGCTCTGCCGAGCCAGCTTGCTGACAACTGTAATATTAATCAGCTGGGTTTCATCAGGAACTTAACAGCAGGTTTTTATTTTTCTTTCTGATGTTTCTTTGCATCAAATCAACTTCTTCTTGTACCATGACAGGAGTTTTTGCACTGGGATATGTTGCTCAGGCAGCACAGGGTAGTACTGGGGAGCTTCATTAGCTTTGCTGGAAACAGAGATTAACGCTGATGGGCAGTTCGTTTTTGTGCAGTGTTACAAGCATCTCTGGAATTTCAGCAGCCAGGCCGATTGTTCCCTCAGAAAGGTCTGTTATACCCAGTCGCGTGGCTGAGACCCAAACTGCATAATTTAACATGATTTGTGGAAAGTGATCTCTGAAAAAATCCTCTGTGAGCTGCGGCCATAGCAGTTGTGCTTTTTCCTGCCTTCCAGTATCCTGCTCACTCTGTCAAAGCTCTTCATGACAGTGCATTGACTGACTCTGAATCTTATTTGTACCATGGTCAGGGTAGACACCAATTAACACTTGGCAGGCTCAGAAATCTTATACTCCCTATCTGACATTCAAAAGAACCATTCTCAATGTGGGTTTTTTTCCTCTTCTGACTTTTGAAGTCGGAAAGAGATCAAACACCCAGATTGGACAGCCGCCTAATACAGCCTCTTTGTAGATTCTTTCCAACACTATTAAAAGAACAAAGACCTGAGCACTAATGAATATGAATACCTTAATGTGACACTTTATTACAGCCACTTGCTGAAGCTAGTAAGATAAATTTAAGAAAAAAAAAGGAAAGATGAAAGATAACTTGGTGGGTTGAAGGATTACATGATTATTTTAATTTAAAGATGAATGAGTTCTTTGTTTAAGACTTCATGTATTTGTTTGGAGAAGTTTCTGATATGATGGTACAGGTGACTATAAGAAGGGCTTGGGAGAAGGCAGGCAGCAGACTGAGGCTGTTTTCTGTCTTGTTGAAATACTGCTTTGATTCCAAGTAGAGGAGGGTAATGCATATGCTGCAGCTGTGAGCAGCATTTCCAAATGCTTTGGTGAGCTTGTGCTTTAGAGTCTTCACACTCTTGGAAACTGTGTTTTGTTTATGTTTTGGTTTTTGACTTACTGGCTTCTGAAGGAGCCACTGGATTTAACACCACAACATATGAAGAAAAGCTTACACTGTGAGACTGTACAAAATGCACCCTCAGTGTAATGTGATGCAGTGCTGGAGTCCAGAGTCCCAATGCCTTTCGTGTGCTTTTTCTCTTTGATTCCATTCTCCCTCCTCATTCTCTGTTGGGCGTTTAGTTTGTTTTTCTTTTTTCCTGGTATTTCAAAGTGGTGAGAACAAGCAGGCTCAGGGATAAATTCTGTCTTCTTTTCAGTATCTGGGGAATTCAGTCTTATCATCCCCAGCATATTTAATTGCAATTAACTGTGTCAAGCTCTTATGGATCAATGCTAGAGCAGATCTTAGGACTACTGAAAAGCTGAACCACATAGCAATATACAGCTTCTCCAGAGGGCAGGAAGGACAAAGACAGAGATGGGCAGGAAAAGCTTTTAAAGTAACACTTACCAGTCCCTCAGATCCACAAGTACATGGCAAGCATTACAGCAGGCTCAGGTCATGGGCACTATGAAAAAAAAAAAAAGAAAAAGGCAAAATCCAAATACAAACAGATGTGTTAAAATACACCAGCCTCAGTGCCTGAGGTCAAATCAAAGTACATCTCCTTGTTCACTTGGGACAACATAAGGAACCGAGGGTTTCCATGGTCTCTGGAAAAGCAGATCAGCTTCTCTGCCATCATACACCCCTGCCCACCAGCTCTGACGAGTGTGGGTCAGCTGCACCATGGCATCCCTTCCCACTCCCAGGTTTATCGCCAATATCAAGCTGAACAAACCTAGAGGTTCTGAACAACCCAGGTAGATGTTTGGGCTGCTCCAATGCATGGCCCAGGCAAGAAGCAGAAGGACCAGCACAGGAGCTTACACTGAGGTTTCCGCATGCAGCTGATGGGGTAAGGGGCAAACTCACATATTCCTTGTGTGACAAAAAGAGAAAAAAATTAGTGGACATAAAAACAAATAGCACCCTGCCCTACCTCTATGCTTCTCTGACTTCTGCTTTTCCCCAGTGGGGAGAAGTAGGGTAAGGTGGTGAGATCAGCAGTCTGACCCACCAGCCTCACACTCAGTGGAAATCGAACAAGTTGCAGCTCCCCAGCATGAGCAGAAACATCCATTTCAGTTCCACTCTGCTCTCTGTGTGCAATTTTCTAAACCTAACCTGAGAAGGCAGGAAGGATCCCATTCTGTAATGCTCCAACAGTAATGGCTGAGTTGTTAGCAATTAACCCCTTAGCTCATTTAACTTGTTCTTTGAAAGACACCAGCATCGTGTTGCACATGATAAAATATAGTTAGAGACACTGAGTCACATCAAATTAGCTCATTTGGGTAGGTTATAGATCAAAACACAAATGAGATGTGAGATTGGTTAATATGCCATAAGCTGCCAGATGAACTTTTGCATTGAAATGTATGATTTGTGGTGCCTTTAACAGGGGGGTAATTGCTTCTTTAATTTTAATTGAGGTGTTTCACAGAGTAATTTAATTGCAGAACAGGGTGTAGTGTACAGTTTGGTGACCCAGTTGGGTTTAAAACTGTATGTGATATTTATCCACATTCATGGTTTTAATTAGGAACTAGAGCAAGGGGAAAAGGATCACTGAGTCAAGAGGCAGAAGAGAGTGCTTTGCAGAGTCAAGATGACTGTGATGCAAACTATTCAGCTGCTCTAGCCCAGGCAAAGGCTGGTGGAAGCTAGGGACTTCTCCAAATAAGCAGTTCCATCTAACTGATTATTAATATGACTGCTGTTTGCATTGTTTCCTGAGAGCTTCTTATGTTTTGCAGCAGTTATCCCTTAATTAGAAGTTCATGTGTGTGCATTTCCATGCAGGTGTGTGTCACTGGGACAGTGTTTTATATTCACAGCAGGAAAGTGAGCTCCAGGAGAGACAAGTGGAGGAGTTTGTGGCCACCAATGCTAATTGCTGAAAAGTGTCACTGTCCTTTGCAGTGCCTTGTGACATACAGCAGAACTGCTTTTGGGTGTCTGTGAGACGAAGAGTGGGGAGAGGGAGGCAGGTTTGTGTAAAGAAGGAGCACAGCCCAATGAATGAGTGCTGCTCATCCTTTGCTTTGGAGAGCCATTGGGTAAGGTCTGGCCATGCCAGACTGTCCTCCAAAAGGACAGGATAAAGCACCCTGCATTGTCAGCACCTGATTCCCTACATTTCTGTCCTTAGCATACATTTTACCCCCCAGCCTACTGGTGGGTGGTCGAGTCACTCTTGCAAAGTGTGAGACATAGGCTACAATCTCCTGCTTGAAGGACAGGTTTGCATTTGGATTTGTGCTTTACTGGGAAGTATGTTGACTACTAGATTATTAGATAGCCCTGTTTTTACATTTCCTACGAGTACATTTCCACAATGCAGAAACCCATGCCAAAGAACACCGGTCTGAACACAGGTCCACCCTGTACTTTTCCTTTCTAGTCCAGTTCCATGATGCCAATGTAAGTGAGAGCAGAGCATGCTCCAAAGTGATCCAGTTGCTGTATGATTCAGTTCAGGCAAGGATGATCCTGTGGGACTGAAGAACAGTCAGACTTCTAGTTCCTCCATGAAATATTACAATGGGAAATTTTCCACTAGATTACTGACATGAACCCTGCTAGCTTATCCTCTTCTCTACAGATGGCTTTCTGTAGGCAAAGACATTCCTGGTTTAGCTAATACAACCTACCTGTCCACATGTCCACATGGTACCAAAAGTGCCAGTCAACATGTGAGCTATGGGCCTCTAGTTCAAACTTCTCTTTTAGGTGGGAAAAGAAA